GATTGTAAAGTAAGGCAATCTGTATCTGAGTTTTACCTTGAGATTGTAAAAATTCCTTTGTTCAGACCTAATGCCTGGTGCCCCTAGTAGATAAAGAAAAAGGTGGGTTCAGAAACCAGCCTTTGCCACAGCCTTACAAAATCCATCTCTGCCTGTGGTCTCAGCTAGCTGATAAACTTTTTGTGCTCCATGAAGATTTTTTTATTTTTTCTTGGATTCTGGTTTCTGGAATAAAATTTGCTTCTGATTTATTAGACTTCGGTGGTCTGTCCCCATCTTTTCACACCCCACCCTGGACCCAAATCTCGTTTTTCAAGTTTCTCTGTATAGCCCTGGCTGTCCTGGAGATATGCCTGTCTCTGCCTACTAAGTGCTGGAATTAAAAATGAGCATCACCACTGCCTGACCCCAATTGTCTCTTTTAATCAACCTTGTTTCCCTAACCTTGTTATTTCTTAATTTTGGAGTTGATCCAAGAAATGTTCTCACATATTTTGCAATAATGAGTTCTCAAGATACGTTCTTTTAAATGCTATGAAACTGGTAATGAATATTTCACAAATTCTTTATTTTAGAATTAACCTACAGTGAGTATATTCATGTCTCTAAAAGAACCTGGGATAATTAAAAAATTTGGAAGATTTCCCATGTATGAACACTTTCTCTCCCAAATATTAACTTGAATATCTTTTGAGGACCCTGAGAGAACTAAATGCCTTCTACACTGCGTGCATAAGGCTTCTCTCCAGTATTTTACTTTTTTTTTCACAATTAAAAGAATGAAGACGACTTTCCCTCATTACTTGGAGCCTTTCTAATACTAAAAGCCACATTGGATTAAAAAATTAAAAAAAGCTTCTCAAGCCCTACTGTGCTGGCATGCTCATTTAATCCCAGCACTGGGGAAGCAGAAGCAAGTGGATCTCTCTAAGTTCAAGGCCAGCCTGGTCTACAGAATGAGTTCTAGGACAACCAGGGCTATACAACGAAACCCTGTTTTCAAAAACCAAAAACCCAAACCCAAAACAAACAAACAACAACAAAAGCCCACTTCTTTCTCTCCACTATGACATTTTCCCACATTTTAAACATAAACTTTCACTCTTGTATAGTTTGATTTCTGTGAGAGCTGACCAAGAGAAAACTGTCTCGGGCTGGAGAGGTGGCTCAGAGGTTAAGAGCACTGGCTGCTCTCCCAGAAGTCCTGAGTTCAATTCCCAGCAACCACATGATGGCTCACAACCATCTGTAATGAGATCCGGTGCTCTCTTCTGGCGGACAGGGATACATGCAGACAGGACACTGTATACATCACTAATAAATAAATATTACTTTTAAAAAAGTACATTAAAAAAAGAAAAGACTGTCTTATGTTACTTACAAATATCTTTATTTTTTCTATGAACTAGTGCATGTCTTCCCAAACGATATGATGTTATGAAGCCCTTCCCACACTGCTTACATACGTAAGGTCTCTCTCCAGTGTGAGTTCTCCCGTGTATTTCCAGCTGACTAGAATATATAAATCCTTTCCCACACTTCTTACATTCATAGGGTCTCTTGTTGCTGTGGATTCGCTCATGTATTTGAATATAAAAAGCATACCTAAAGGCTTTCCCACATTGCTTACACTCATAGGGTCTCTCTCTTTTGTGGATTTGTTCATGTCTTTGAATATAAAAAGAATAACGAAAGGTTTTTCCACATTGCTTGCATACATACGGTCTCTCTCCTGTATGAATTCTTTCATGTGTTTTAAGGGTACTAGAATAAGCAAAGGTTTTCCCACAGTGATCACATACATAGGGCTTCTCACCAGTGTGAATTCTTCCATGTATTTTTAGGGAGCTGGAACAAGTAAAGCTTTTCCCACATTGCTTGCAAACAAAGGGATTCACGCCAGTGTGAATTACTTCATGCTTTTGCAACTGAATCAAAAGCCTGAAGGCATCCCCACAATACTTACATACATACGGTTTTTCCCCAGTGTGAGTTCGTTCATGTACTTGAAGGTTACTAGAAGTAATGAAGGCTTTCCCACATTGCTTACATACATATGGTTTCTCTCCAGTGTGGATTCTTGTGTGTCTTCGAAGGGAAGCAGAACGAGAAAAAGTTTTCCTACACTGATTACACACATAGGACTTCGCACCACGATTACATACTGAAGACTTCTCAACAGTGTGAGTTATTTTATGTCTTATAAGGTAACCTATCCTAACGAAGCCTTTCCCACACAGTTCACACACATGGGTATTTTTACCACAACAAATCTTTTCACGTGTTTTTAAGAAATCGAGATATGAAAAGCATTTCCCACATGGTTTACATACGTAAGACTTCTTTGCATGGTCATGATCTTCATTCCTTTGACCAGATCGGAGACAAAGAAAGTCTTCTTTGCAGTTCTTATTTTTAGGTTTCCCTCCACAGTGAGCACTTTCATGTGTCTGAAGGGACAGAGGAGAGCTGGAGCTGCCTTCAAACCCCTTATGTTTATACAACTTCTGTCCACAGTCCTGGTCTTCACGAGGTTTCTGTCCTTCCTGATGGTTCAGGGGCACACCTAGAGATGGACAGCCAATGCTTCCTTCTCCACACACATGCTTTTCACGTGTGGCAAGTCCTGGACAAGATTTCAAGTTCATGGAAGACTCTGGAATACAGTTGAAGATTTCTGGACACTGAAGACTTTCTTTATAGTCATGGAATTTCTCTTCTAGTTGACTGCTGCAAGACAGGTGAAGAGCACATGACTAAGACTTTGTTTACTAATGACTGAGGGAAACAAATGCTGGTTTCATGCTGAGAAATCACCTGTAACATGTTTGAACTGCAATGCTTTCCAAGACCTCTTAAGGAGTGCTACGAATGAAATAATGGTATTCATGTATGTTGGAGAATTTCTCCTTGAGAGCATTAGATATTCCCATAACAGTTCAACAAAAATATGAATCCACAATATTATGCACATTCTAAATGAGCTTCAATAGAGTATACCCACCAGCATATTGGAGATGCCTTCAGAGTAGAATGACCCCTGGGGACAGTAGCTGATGTGGTGTGATTCAGGCTTGAGTTTAGGAAAATCTACGTGTGCTACCAGCGGCAGACCTGGAGAAGTGGGGCTAAGACCTTGGGAACCCAGAAATGATGAATCTACACTAGAGATGGGACACTGATTGTTTGCACTGTTAGAGGCTGAGCTTGCCTTGATGTGATTATCACTATGCCCTGGTTCCTTCCTCTCTGAGCATAAAATTATGTAACTGACTTTTTGAGTCTACAGTTCAAAGACTCTTCAATTTTTAAAAATAATTTTTTTAAAGGAGAACTTAGATGTTTGAAAGTACTGAAGTAAGACTGTTCCTTAATTTTTAAATTGTGGTCTTAATTTTTCTTTCTTTCTTTCTGTCTTTTTGAGACAGTGCTTCTCTGTGTAGTCCTGGAACTTAGTCTGCAGACCATGCAGCCCTCTGTAGAGCAGCTGGCATTTATAGTAACATGACATCGTGGAGACAAACAAAAAGGACACATTATGGCTGAATGATGGGGTGTTTGTGTCTCACATCGACAAGGAGCCAACTGTGCTGGTATTTCTGAACTTGACGAAACCGAGAGTCATCATAGAGGACTTCAATTGAGAAAATGTCGCCATCATATTGACCTATAAGCAAGCCTATGGAGCTTTTCTTGATTGATAATCAATGTGGAAGTGTTTAGCTCTCTGTGAGCGGTACCATTCCCACGCAGCTTGTCATAGGGTTTATAAGAAAACAAACTGAATATACAACACACTTGTCTGAACATGGATATTTTCAGTAACCTTCTGGAAAGCACCTCTAGATTTTCATGGGACCTGTTATCATTCATAACACTCATGACCCGAGGCTGGCTCCACGAGGGGCAGTGGCAGGTGGCCTGAGGCCTTGGTGGGAAAGAGACAGATGGACAGATATACCATGCAAAGAGAGCTGAGGTATAGAGTTTATTTAGTGGGTTACGGAGGGGAAGGGGAGAAGTGGGAGAGATTAGAGAGAGACAGAAGCTACCTCTCCCTTTCTTCCTAAACTTAACTTTGTCGTCTGCTCTGCCAACACCTAGCCAGGTCCAAGAGACACCTGACAGTTCCACACCACGAATCATGGATAAGAGCAAAGTGATCAGCTACCCCAGGATGTGACCAGCACCCAATATTCTTAGGCCCCTCCAAGACAGACTTCTATGCCCACTGAAAGGTGCTGCACATCCTCAGACCCTGAACTTTCTATGACCTCTTGCCTACAGGAGTAAACAACTTGTTTTCCTATGCTTGCAGCTGCTCTGAGCATGAGATCCTCATGAGTTCCTGATAACAAGGAAGTGGTTTCTGGTGGGCTTGCAGTAGAAAATTCCGAGAGATAGGGAGTGGCTACTAGTCAAGAAGGGCACTATGTAAGCTGCCCAGGAACACAATAAAATTGGCATTCTTGCTTCAAGAGTGAAAAAAAAAAAAAGAAAGAAAGAAAACAAACTGAGCAAGCCATGGGGAGCAAGACAGTGAGTAGCATTCTTCCATGGCCTCTGCTTTCAGTTCATGCCTAGAGGTTCCTGCTTGAGTTCATGCCCTGATTTCCCTTGATCATGGACTTCAAACTGCAAGACAAAGTTAACCCTTTCCACTCCAAGTTGCTTTGGCTCAGCCTTCATCCCAGTACGACAAAATCAAACTAAGACACTGGGTATCTTACTGGGTATATACACTGACACTGGGTCAGTGTATATATGTATACATGTGTATATATGAGCTATGAATGCATAACACATGTGGCATCATCATATTCTAGTTCTCAAAATTAGAATGTTTGCAATGGACTATTGCTGATACTTAGTACATTTTAATTTTAGAAAAAAATTCCCTGAGACAATATTAGTTTGATGCTGGATATCACATATATCTTTTACTTCTTCATAAAATGTCCTAGCACAACAGAACTATAAAATGTGGCTTGGGAAACAAATTACCTTAATTTTCTGCAGAGATTTTCATACTCATTTACAACCTTTTGGTTTTCCAACTTGTTTCCTAAAATGTAGAACAAGAAAAATCGTTAAGAGTTAATAACAGAAAAAAATTAAGACAACAGCTAAATTGAAGGCATAAGTGATCGCATCTGACACATTCACCCCATCCCCCTTCCATAATCAGTTCATACATCAGCATGGATAAACTAGAAACACTTGTCTGTGATGGACTAGGAAAGGCAATGCTCAGGGTACCTAGAGAAGCCAGGTTCCTCAAGGTGTCCTGCATCACATCTTTGTACAGCTTCTTCTGGGATGGATCCAGCAGAGCCCACTCCTCCTGAGTGAATGTTACAGTCACATCTTCAAAGGTCACTGGCTCCTAAAAGCACACACATACATTTCCAGGACAGTCAGCCTCATGGTACTGGAGATGCACACAGGATTAATAAGAAGTTGACATGACACTGTGTTCCACAAGTGTCCAAGTTGTCTTGGTCATCACTGTACTGCTCACACAGACTAAGATTCCCCAGACACAAATGCTGCACGTAAACTGGAGCCTTCTGGGAAGGAAACATCAGGACAGCGCGAGCTCTGTGCAGATAATCTTGCTAGTTTCTCTTTCTGTCCTGCATCTTTCTAACAGCGCTCATCACAAAATCTGATTGTCTACTACTCACCAGGGACTCGAAAGCAACTGTCCTTAGAATGTGTGTGCTTAGAAATGCTGGACAAAACTGTCCCCTGGTGTCTGGGAACTGAGATCTACAGTGAGTCCTTCCCCTCACAGCTGTGAAAAATGAGGGAGAATTCTCAGACAGTTGATGACAACTACACCCTAAGTCTAAAACCCTAGGAACCACAACAACAACAAAAGCACAACAACACCTGTTCTCCCTTAGAATCTTTGCAATAACTTCACGGGCATTGGATAAATGTTTTCTGGTTAATCCTGAATATTTTCTCTAGCTGATGAATCTTTACCACCTAGTTTGGTAGACACTACTTACAATGTTTTTATGCCTTAATTTTAGTGTGTGTATGCATAGGGGTGAACAAGCATGCCACAGTGCTCTTGTGGAGGTCAGTGACAACGTGTGGGAGCAGGGAACACGTTCTCTCTTTCTAGCTTAGCAAAGATTCTGGAGATTGAATTCATACCATCAGCTTGCATAGCAAGTGCCTTTCCCTGCTGAGCCATCTCAGCAGGCCTCCAGTTAATACTTCTTAAAATTTGTTAGGAAGCTGAGCACATCTCTTGTGGTTGCACTAGAGGCCAGTATTAGAAAGTACATAGCTGGGTTCTTTGTCCTATTCTTCATCAGACAACAAAAGAGGACTCATGGTGAATAATTCATTTCATTTGTATCCTTATTTGCTTTCTGTTGCTGTGATTAAACATGATCAGATATAACTTGGGCAGGAAAGTGTCTATGTGGATTACAGGTTATAGCCAATCACTGGGGGAAGTCAAGACAGGAGACTCAAGAAGGAGATGCCACAGCCCAATCTGGCGGAGTCAGTTCCTCAACCGAGATTCCCTCTTCCCAGGATGTCAAGTTGACAACCCACTGAACTGGCCCATCACATCATCTTTATTTGAGAATGCCACTGGACTGTTAAACAGTGGAAAGATGGCACATGTTCTTAGATAGGGCTCTAATGTCACTAACACGTCGCTTCTGTAATTTGTAAAACTTGCTTTAAAGTAAAATACTTGATTAAACCTATTACCTGCAACTAACGTATGCAATCAATGTCTAAAACCAGTTCCCTACACAGAGTACTATGCTTCCATCTCGACGGTGGCCAAGTCAGAAGAGCAGCGTATGACACTTGCACTTCGGGAACTCGGGCCACCAGGAAGCAAGACAATGTTGGCTGAATTACGGATAGGCAAGGCCCTGCCGAGGGTTTCGGCTCCAGGATGTCTCTTGCTACAGCTGTGCCTTTACATGTGTGTTGCTTCCAGCTTTCTCTGGTATCTGGCATGGTGTGAACAGTTGTGGGGAATCCCCACTACCCATAATTTAGTGTGAGTATCTCATGGAAATATCCCATTCTACTGGGCCCTTTTACATGTGGATTATTATGAAGATGATTTCCTCTTAAGATGTACTGTTTAACTGAGGCAGTGATTTTATACTATAATAGTGTTTGTTTAAATAAAATTTCGATGATTAAGGAGTTTTAAGAAATATAGTAAGGGATTATGAGAGAAGTTACCTTAGTGGGAAAATTAATATAGGCAAAGGTAGGATATAGTGTTTCCCCAACCCCTGACAAAGCAGGGGTTGCAGGGGATAAAAAAAACGGGACCAAGGATGTGTCATACAGCTAGGACTTACGAGTTTCTCTTGAGGAGTTGTATAGACTATGGTTTAGGTTAATGATTAAGGAAAACAACTGAGCCCCAGGAATTAGGCTAGCTAAAGTTCTTTTTGATATTGGGAAATGTGTTCACGGGTTTCTGTGCATCACAGCTAAAGCAAAGCTTTCAACAACTGACTCCCTCTAACTAGAAAACAAAGACTAATTGGATGGACTCTGAACTATGAAAAGTGAAACTAGGAACCTGTTTTTCTGGCAATTATAAAAACTGCTGCCTGTGTAAACTGTTGTGGCCGGAAGGCTCCTGATCTGTGAGAAGTCTAAACGATAAATGGTTAACTGTATGTGGGTTCTTGGGGATAGTTTGTTTTTCACCTATAATATGGAAAATGTTTAATCATGTAAGAGAGTTGGAAAACATGTTCTTCCTGTATTCATTGTAATCCTTCACTTAAAAATGGAATGTAACTACACGGTAATTTTTATATTAGAAGATTATTCTGGGGTGTGTAAGCTGTAAGGGGAAAAAAGAGGGGACACCAGGAAGCAGTAGAGAAGGAAGTCATCAGGAAGGAGAAGAAGGGAAACATGAGGGTAGGAGAACGGAACAGGAAAGGAACGGAGAAGAACAAGAACAGAGCGAATACTAAAAAAAAGAAGTTTTTATCCCTCAGAAAAGAACTCTGTTTTTTTGTGCCAACTCTGCATCTTGTTCCCAGTCTTGTTCCCAGACTTGCAGAAGGCTGGACGCTCTGCACCTCCTAGAAGTCACAGATTGTCAAATACGAAGACCAGTGACAGATGTTAATTACTTGCACTAGAGTTGTTGGTCGGGGCTGTCCCAAAAGCCCCTTCTCCCCAAATGAAAACCCCAAATAGGCTCTCATCACAGCTCTTTGCTGCCCACTACAATGTTACTGCAGAGGGAGAAAAGCCACTACCACCCTTCACTACCCATGAACCCTGAAAGCTACATACAGCCAGCCTATAATGCAATGAGTCCACGGGGACCTACAGCCAGCCTAGAATACAATAAGTCCACGGTGTAATCATATCAAGGCTATTGGGGTAACAGATTGAATTCTGAATGGATTTAAGCCATACTCCCCACTAGGAAAAACATGTCTGTTTCTGTAGATCTGACTCAGAATTGGAGAGGTCACAGGCCCCAGTAGAAAATCTACTATTAACTTACTAAATTGTAACAATCTTAATACCTATCTCTAGACTCACAGAGTGTAACACTTCTCATTGTGAGAAATGTTTGTGTGCAGTGGACAGTGATTAATGCAGAAATTCACGACATGTGAAAGTGAAGTAAATTAAGTGTGCATGGAGCCCTCAGGCATAAAGGGGACATCTACACCACACCTCCATCCACCACCCAGGTCTCTGTGAGTTCGAGGCCAGCCTGGTCTACAAGAGCTAGTTCCAGGACAGGCTCCAAAGCAACAGAGAAACTCTATCTCAAACAACAACAACAACAACAAAACTAGATTCAGTATGTTATTTAAAAAAATAAAAAGTCAAAAAGTTAGGTGGGGAATGGAGAAGTTAAGAGAGAGTGAGCTGTGTGTGAATGTGCTCAAAACATTGTCTACAAGATGTATGGAATTCAGAAAACATATATAAAAATAGCATCTCTGAAAATAAATAAAATGAGTTGGGTGGTGGTGGTGCATGCCTTTAATCCCAGCACTCAGGAAACAGAGACAGGTGGATCTTTGTGAGTTCAAGGTCAGTCTGGTCTACAAAGTGAGTTCCAGGACAGCCAGGACTACAAGAGAAACCCTATCTCAAAAAAAAAAATCTACCAACAAACCAAATAAATATAAACAAACAAACAAATAAAGCCAAGCCAAAGAGTTATTGCATACTTTTAGAGTTCAATGTAGCATCTGTGTCCTTACATCGAAGTTGTCTGCATGGTTTCTGTTAGAATTCCTGTCTTTCCCATACCAGGTTTAGATTAAGGACTAATTAAAACTTTACAACAATCAAATTTACACTCTAGCTAAACTCAAATTACACTACAATAAAAATTGACAAACCACAGCTTTAAGTAAAAAGTTTAAACTCTTTTTTGGGGGGCGTTTGAGACAGAGTTTTCCTGTGTAAAAGCCCTAGCTGTCCTGGAACTAGCTCTTGTAGACCAGTGGCCTCGAACTCACAGAGATCCGCCTGCCTCTGCCTTCTGAGTGCTGGGATTAAAGGCATGTGCCACCACCACTGTCCGGCAAGAAGCTTTAAAATCTCTGACTTAGTTTTCTTTATGACAGCTCTGTGTATAAATACTGCCGGAACGTCCACGTCTTTATTCTGCACACACAGGATAAGCACTTACTTATGAGTGAGTGCAGGTCTGGCGAGACAGCGCAACTGCACTGGCTGCTCTAGCAGAGGACCCGAGCTCAATTCCCAGCACCTACACCATGTGGAGATCTACTGTCTGTAACTCAGTAACTCCAATGCCTCTCACCTTACACGCGTGTTTAAAATAAAATTTTAAATATTTGAAAAAGAATAGTGGATCATTACTTAAATTAGAACTCTGAAATTAGGTCAAAATCCTTCTACTTTACAGTGTAATTAAAATTTTAAAACAAAAGGTCCTGATCCTGGCAGCCCTTATAGGTTAAGCTCAGCCTTCACTTTATGATAGGCTAACAGGAGAAACAACATCAGCAACGGACAGAAAGTGGTTTTTTTTTTAATATATATATTTAAGATTTTGGTTTCATTTCAGAAGTGTGTGTGTATGTGTTGAGAGTGTAATGGTTTAAGCAAAATGCTACAGGTTCCCAGGAGGTGGCAGGCAGCAGGCCACGTGGCTGCAGGGAGCTGAGTGGTGGGTGAGAGACCTCAATGGGGAAGCCAGTCTCAAGAGAAGAGACAGAGAGATGGGCATGCCATGAGACCACACCGGAAGTCTCTGAAGGTGGCTGGTCCTGAGCAGGGAGCCACACAGCGGGCGAGAGACAGAGACATGGTTAGGCATGCCATGCAGAGTGAGGGAGAAGAGTCTAGAGAAACAGAGAGAGACAGAGA